AAACAAAGAACCATAACATATCCATTGAAGCCAAAACAAAAACAAATGAAGAACAATTTGCAAGCTTTCTTCACCTCACAATCCATAATTATGCAATCAAAAGGAACCGAATCATCCTTTGCTCCATTCTCGAGCTTCTCCCGAACTAATCTCCAAGCTTCTTCTCCATTTTCGCAAGTCACAACAACACGCGCACCAAGCTGCGAAACCACAAACACAGCTACCTTCCGTCCTATAGAATCATCATCCACAATCAATATTCTCTTCCCCATCAACGGCGTTTTTCCATCAGGCCCTCCAACTTCCTCGATTTTGCTTTCCCCACAGATAAAACTTTTCTCACTCTCGACTCTCCCGACATCGCTATCAAAATTCTCCCCTCCGAATTCAGGCAGAAGGCCAATAACTCGGTACAGACGAGACCCATGAAGCGGTTTCAATATAACTAAATCCGAAGCTGGCAGCTTGTCCTCGTCAAGCCCCTGGAGACTCGAGCCACCCTCAAAACCGAGCCATACGACCCTACTACAAAAGCTACCACTTAAGTCCCTCCTGAACTCAGCCAAAGCCCGACTGATATCCCTAAACGGGCCTGCGCGTGAATCTATCACCAACAAGACAAAATTTGAAAATCGGGCCCGCGGGCCATCCAAGCCCTCCAAATTGCTCATGGGGACTTCCTTTGACCTTGTGCTTGAAGTATGCGAACTGGGAGAGGTGTGAATCGAAAGGCTTAGTTTCTGTTTGATTCTCTTGAGGGCTGGGGAGAGGTTTTCGTGGTGGGTGATGACGTCAGCTTTGATTCCGAGCCTCTGCATGAATCTTTTGATGGCTTTGCATCTTTCGGTGCTTTTCATGAAGAGCAGAACGTGGGAGCTCTCGGTTTTGGGACTCAGAAAACGGGTAGTTTCATTTGAGAAGTAGCTGCAGTTACTTGCCTCAATATCCAGTGGATTCGCATTACTCGACTCGCACGTGCTGAAGAACACATTGAACCTGAAGCAAGTCCCTTTTTCGCCGATTTCTTTGTCCACAATTCCTATCTCTCCACCCATTAAACGAACCTAAAATCTCCCAGGAATCATCAAATGGGAAAAATATTAAGCATAANAACAAGTTAAAATATTGTAATGATACCAGGGATTGCACTATGCCAAGGCCTAGACCAGTGCCTTGTTGTTCCAAAGCAGTCTCCTTGATTTGAACGTAGTTCTCGAAAATCGATTTCTGTTTCTCTCTCGGAATTCCTTTTCCAGTATCAATCACCTCGAACAAAAACTCCACGCGTTTCGAGTCCCGCTGAATAGAAGCGCTCGTATCCGACTCGTACGACTTTTCGATCTCAAACAGCCAACAGAGCATAAAACTGCAGCTCACGGTACTATTTCGGCCCGATGCATTCCCGAGGCCCGGTTTTTGTGCCGAGGCCCGAACGATGACGTGTCCTTCTGACGTGAACTTGAGCGCATTGCTCAGCAAGTTGCTCAAAATCTGCTTGAGCTTGCCACGGTCGCCTTTCACACAAGGAGCTTTCATAACCGAACCATCATGCGGGTCCAAAATTACGTCAACGCCCTTCTTCGCGCCCAATGGGTGAAACAAATCCACCACGTCTTCTAGAAGATGTTCCATGTCAAACTCCTCTTCATCCAGCTGCATTTTTCCCGACTCAATCTTGCTCGTATCAAGAATCGAATTCAATATAC